GTGTGTGTGTGTGTGTGTGTGTGTGTGTGTGTGTGTGTGTGTGTGTGTGTGTGTGTGTGTGGATAGAGTTTGTGCGTGTGTGCATTTGTGTGTGTGCATCTGTGTGTGAGTCTGTGTGTGTGTGCACTCGTGTATGGAAACTAAATTGTGTGTGTACACTGTGCATATAGTGTCACAGTGTGTGGTCTGTGTGTAGATAGTGTGTGTGTGTATATGTGTGTACATACTATATACTGTGTGCAGAAAGTGTGTGTGTGCTTGTATGCAGTCACATGCAGCAGCTGCAGCAGCGGGCCTTCAACAACACCTTGCAAGTTTCCACATCCTTCCCCACCCCCGACACCATTTCTTTTTTGCTCCAGATGGCCTAAAATTCTTTTGGGGGGGTCCCCTGGTGGAGCGCAGCCGCCCCTCGTTTTTTTTTTTCTTGCTTTCCAAATTTTAAAAAAATGAGTTGTCAGGGATCCCGGACAACTCCACACAGGATGTCCGGCCAGGACAACCGGCCATCGGACAACTGGTAGCCTAAATTTATACTTAATAGGTAGTTTCTTTTTTTTGTAAAAGGTTGTGCCGGTTGGAGACGGCCTTAGGGGGGTCCTTATCGCATCGAGGGCAGTCCCGCCAGACAGGCCGGCGCGCCAAGCCTTCCTACACTCTCGGAGCGGGTACTACACTCACCAAGCGAGACCCACTCTCACGGCCCTGCCCATAATGGTATCGTATACTCCACCCCCTCCCCACACCCCCTAACACACACACTCACTGCACCAGATGAGACACTCCTAAGACAACACACATCCTCACGTACCCTAGAAGATGGGGAGGTTTCGACCACGGCCGACGCTCCGTGGCCGCATGCAACACATTAGGGCACCCCCGAACTCAAACCATGATTGCCCCAGAGGTATTTGTGTTGGGGGGCATATTACACACAGTCGCACCCATATTACCGCGGCGCCAATCCCTGCTATGAAAGAGACATGTCTGAGGCAGCCCTTCCCGAATCTACCCTATGCCTACTACTGCCTATATCCCAACACTCCTACTCAACCACGATACTCCTACCCAACCACGATGGACCTGATTTTTTCAGGGGGGGGGGGGGGGGGGGTCCCGGTAAAGCCCCCAAGCGTTAGCATCTCCCACAATTCGACACGGCCCCGCCTCCGATAACTACCTCGTATTTTCTGACAGGGCCTCAACCCTCGTCGTGCCCGACTATTTTTGTGCCCACACGGAATCCACTACATGCGCATAATACGTGCGTCATCTTGACACCCACCACATCGACAGTGCGAACAACAACCCCCCAGGAGCAAACTGCAGTCGGGACTTGATCTCCCAAACACCGACTCCAACCCGCAGCAACCGGTGTGCGAATGGCTGTGCACTATGATAGCGCGAAATGGCAGACTATGTTAATAGGTGGTTTCACAGCATATGGCATGTAAAGATCATGATGGTCATCTATTTCCGTGTTTTTTTTTTGTCACTTCATTGTTTTTATAATTATGTGTTGTTGCATGTTGTAATCGTTTATGATTGCTTTCATATGAGGATTTTTATGCAGGCGAATAGCGTGCTTACGTAAACTAGTATTTTGCATAACACATCAACGCAGGTTCATTTCTTGGCATGCATGATTGTTTTTGCCCCGGGTAAGAGCAAGATGTGGAGTAAAGAAAATATGCTTGTTTTTATTATAATATCGCATATGAAGAGAAAGGTGGTGCGAAAAATATGTGAAGTCAAACACGGGGTGGAAAAAAGCTAGCACTCTATATCCCAAAGTTGGGTAAAAGCTCGATTCGAATATAATAACGGCTCTTAAAATATCCAAGGTGAGAGAGTAATTTTTGTAATTAATAGAAGGGAAAATGTTGGTGAAATCAAATGTTGTTTCTATGACTTGTAACGTCAGTTACCACGTTGTAGCGTAGTTATGAATCCAAACTTCAATCATATGTTATGCAGAAGCAAAAATATAGAAAATTATTTTATTTTAAGTCCAATTTATAAAATAAAATAAAAAATAAACAAAAAAAGACCTAAATGGTTGTCAAATGCTTAGCAATGTCATAGCCTGTTACAACTCTTATGGATAACAAAAACATTAGTAAATAATAATGACGATTTAAAAAACAAATTGTGGGTGTCCTAAAATTTAAAAGTATATTCGAATATAAGCATTATATAAAAAAGTGTAAAAAGTTTAGTAAACTATATTTCACGACCTCGTAAGCGAATGATAATGGTAAATACAATGGTTGTTCAAATGCTTAGCAGAGATTGTTATAATTCTTATGGATAACCAAAATGTTAGTAGGTAATAGTGATGATTTTATTTTAAAAACTTGGTGTATCCATGGTTACCAGGCCGAATGTTAGAGGCCCATTGAGCTGTGACCCCCGAACGTTCGGGTGTTCGGGGTCCCGTTCGGGCCCCGAACCCTATTTTGGGGCCTAAAATTAATTTTTTTCGTTAAAATATATTTTTTTAATTTTTTCGAACATGCGCTACACACACTAGGCTACGAGTCGGGCCGCCTGGGTCCGGGGTAGCCAGCCCGTGTAAGGACCAAGGAAGGTCCCAGCAAAAAAAAAAAAAAAATCCAAAAAATCCAAAAAAAAACTATGTTACGCAGAAAAATAAATTTTTGCCTTAGAGTTACACGCAAATGCTTCACCAAATATTTTAAAAAACTGAAACTTAAAACAACTTTTTTTTTTTTTCTTTTTATTTTTTTTAGCCTGGTCGGGCAAGTGACCCCGGGCCACTCTGGTAGCCTAGTACACTCATATAAATTTTCAAGGCATTTTGGAAAGCCAAAAAAAAATGAAACATCGTCAAAGATGGAGGTGTTAAAACATGCTCCACTACTCAATTTGTTTTTTTTCACTTTTCATTTTTTTTTGCAATTTTATTTTGATGCCTCAAATATTTCATTTTTTTTGAAATTTTTTGCATAAGTTGTTTTATGTGAAGTAAAGATATGTAAAGTTGCAGTGCATTTGGCAATGCCAAAAAAAAATGAAAAATCACCAAAGATGGCGGTGTCGAAAAACGAGCTTGCGCACTCACTAATTTTAATTCTCGAATTTTTTTATTTTTTTTTCTTAGTATTTATTTTTCTTTTTTAAATTCGGTGAGGAATTTTGATGTAATGCTCAAACAAATATTGTTTAGTTTTTTGTATTCCATAACATATATTTTTGCAGAATTTTTTTGAGGTTGTTTTTTTTCTGTGTTTGGTTTGAACGGTCGAACTCATTCCCAAGGCGTCCCGTACGTTCGAGCATTCGGGCTCAGGCGTTCGGCCCGTTCCGAACGTCGGCCACCCTGGGTGTATCAAAATTTAAAATTCTGTTCAAATATTGATATTGTATAAAGCGGTACGAAAAATGAAATAGAGCATTCATATTTAATAACTCTACAAGCAAACAATGATGGTAGAAAACGATACATGAACTTCAGAACCATAATCAATAGTACAACGTATAAGAACGTCAAAATCGTATATTTTAAACTTTTTTTGTTATAATCAATTGAATTAGATTTCGGATAACTATGTTGAGCGTGCTAGCATTGTTAGATACGTTAAAGCATTTGCATTGTGGATAACGACTTGCTTATTTTTTATCTCAATATGAAAAATCACCATCGTGTGTTTACATATTATCCAGTATCACCTTGGGAATTCTATTTTTCCATTTTTTATGGATTAAAGCAAAAATCAACGGAACTTGTTTTTTTTTTCATATCCCCATTCTTAATTAATAAACAAAAAAGGGTGTGCAACAAATATCAGGTCAGAGTGTGGTTCATGTCTTCTAAACCACCATTAGAGGATGATGGAATGATTTCTAATAAATTTGTATTCAAGTTGGTGTTTCATTATTTATAGTATGTTGATATCATTTCTTATTCACTTACAAGCAATGTAATATGTATATAACAGAAGAAAAATAATAAAATAATAATATTTTTCATAATAAAAATACATTCTAAAATTAAAATTTTTATTCCATCGTACAAAATTTCATTCTATTTTTTAATTTTTCATCTTATTGAAACCTTTCATTCCAAAAATGGGGATATCGCTTTTTGTTTGAACTCCATACTACAGATGAAATCAAATTCTGGATGAGTGCACGGACTTTTTTTTATTTTACTATTATTTTATTATAATAAATTTATTTCACGAATAAGTTAATTCAATCTTAATTAGAAGATATTTGTTATAGTAAAATAAAAGTTTAATTAAGACACTTCATAAACTCGTTTAAACTTTCATTCGATCTTCAACAAATAGATATAGTTGGAAGGGAAAACTCATTTTTAAACAGAAATTTGTCGAATGAAAGTGAAAATTGTAAAATTGGAAAAACTTTGGAATGATACTTTTCAAATATGAATGTTTTTTTTTACTCAAATATTTTTTCAACTTTCATTTTTTATGGGAATT